GGGCGGTGTGAGGGCGGTGTGAGGGCGGTGTGAGGGCGGTGTGAGGGGCGGTGTAGGGGCGGTGTGAGGGGCGGTGTGAGGGGCGGTGTGAGGGGATGAGTGAGGGCGGTGTGAGGGGCGGTGTGAGGGGATGAGTGAGGGCGGTGTGAGGGCGGTGTGAGGGCGGGAACTTTTGAAAATACGCTAAAGATTCGAAGACCTTGATTTAGTGAGATAAACCTTATCCTCTTCAATCAATAATGTCTGCTTGAGACAACAAACATTGGTATTGAAATGATCTCTTTAAAAATATCCATGACCTTAACAAACATTGACGCTTTACACAACAAATGCACTTAAAATGATTTTTTACTATCCATGTTGAAACTTTGACATATCTGCATAATCAGTTTGAGACTGCTGGTCATTACATACTAGCACAAGACCTTCTTTTTTCAACCCTAGTTTTCTCGAGATTCTTCTTCCCATTTTCCTTAAGAACCTGCTTAAAACTTGAAAACATWAAAAATGCCTCATGATGCTTCCTATTTCTACATTATTTTATGATTTTGTCATCTTTTATTACTAATAGATTGCTGACAGAATTTACAGAGATTTTTATCTTCTTGAAGATAAAAAAAAATCTTGAAGATTTTTATCTTCAAGAGTTGCTTATCCTGTTCCTGCTGCCTCTACCTCACCAGAATTGCATTTTTGTCTAACGTACAGTAACTTAAATATCAATCACCTGTCATGTCATAAACACAGGAGGGAAACAGCATGAGGGGGAAAGATGTAATTGCCAAGAAAAGACAGCAACAAAGCTGTCATTATAAAAAGTAGTCTTTAGGTTTTTCAGGTCCTTTGGAGAACAAAGACTGAACTTTGTCAGCTTAAACAAGACATTTGAAAGAGTCAGTTAATTTATTTCAAAATTCTTGAGTAATTAAAGTAAGTCCCCCTGCATTTCAATGTACAAAACTGACTTAAGTATTGATTATTGCCCTGAGTGCTTAAAAAAGAAACTTATCAGTGCGTATGCAATGACACAAAAGGGCATGGAGATAGTCACAAGCTCTTGTTCTTAATGTGGGAGAAAGTATAATTTCCCTTGTAATTATTTTCTTTCTTAAATAAAGTAACAATAACCTAGGGACAGAGTGCTAATGAAATATTGTATATTTTGTACAAAGTGCTAATGAAATATTGTGTATTTTGTTTGAATGCTGTCATTGACAATGAAGACTTCTAAACAACYAGTGTCTCCCAGTCCTGTTTGTATTGCATCAGCTCACAACAAGAAGTGTGACTACTGGAATATCCTGCCAGATTTGAAGAGAAGTACTTGCTGGAAATGACAAGGGACCTGGTTTCAAAGGTAGCATTCATTAATGGCTTTTCTTACTATGTATGGAGCTTTTTGTGTTATTAATAGCCACTTCTAAAATAACTCTACTGTGAACTATTTTGCAGTAAGATTTTCTGAATCCTGTCTCTGATTATTATTATCCCAGAGTTCTGGTATTTTTCAGTGATATATAAAAACTGGAAGTAGATACAGCTAATCTGGAATTTTCACTGTATAAACACCTTCGTGTTTGCATTTTCTGTATTTAAAGTTTAAAAAAAATCAGTAGAGGAATTATCTTCTAGTGTTTACCATCTGTGTTGTAAACCATGCTGTGGATGAAGAAATCTTCATCRCAAAAGTTGGCAGTGTCTTGAACCTGTCAGTGTCTGTAACATTTTGTATTACAATGCTGRCACCTCCAGGTCTTTAGAAGGATATACAAAGGGGCAGAAGTAGGTTCCTACGGCATTCTTACTCTTACTCATACTTGCTCCCTAAGCAGACAAGTCCAAAAGGGGTGTGCTCKCTGGGGAGTGAGACTGGAGAGCAGCATCAGAGAATGCTTGGTGGCTGAAGAGACGACTGCAGACACAGCTCATGGCTCCTGCCTCAGGGAAGGTGACCCTGCTGAGACTGAGAAGTGTCTGTACTGCCACGGSTGGGGTTAGTTTGAGCTGCAGGCAGCTGCTGAAACCATAACCCATCATGTCAAAAAGATTTTCCTAGATTGCTGTAAACATGCTCATGCTGTGCTAAAGCATTTCGTCTCAAAAATTAGCACTTTTAGGGATTCTGAAAGCAAAGCATGAAAGAAGAAAAAAATCTGTAGTCTTGTGATTTATTTGGAATTGTTATTTGATCTCAACAATTAAAAAAAAAGAGAGAGAGGGAATGTAAAAATAGGATGTGATTAAGCATAATGAAGGGGGAAATGAAGTAAAAAAAAATGGAAGAGCAGATAGAGTAAGAAAACAGTGGGGATTTACAGCACAACAGCCACCTTAGGAGTGACTACAGTTGGCTTGGGTCTTAAAAGCAGAAAAAAATGAAAAGCCATCAGTCTAAAACAGATCTCTCTGATATGTAATTCTATATGTATGAGGCAGGGAATAGTTTTGAAATGCAGCAAGTTCCTCCCTAGAAAAGCAGCTTACTTTGCAAATACTAAAGTCAAGAGTGCCGCATGTCTCTGCCCGTAAGCATTTAGCCTGAAGTGGATGATGGCCATTTTGATTGGGGAAATAAATTCTTTCAGATGAAATGATCTGCAGGAGAGACATCAAAAGAACCCGTAACTCGTGTTACTCTGTCTTAGAAGAGAAATACTGATTTTTCAGTTTATTTACCTGAGCTTGTTAATGTACAATTGGAGAGGTAAAGTTTTGTTACTTMACACACAAGGCAGTTGTGTAATATAGCTTTGGTGGGCTGCCTAAAGCATTAATAATGATAAGGTTTATTGCTATTGTACACGTGTTCTAGGAATTCTTGGGAAAACCATRGGAACTTGGTTTAAATAAGAAATTGTAAGTTCATGTTGATTTCCTACTATRTTAAATATGCTGTCACAGAATGAGGGCAGCTGAAATGTCAGGTGTTGTGGTGTCGTAGCACTTCCAAACACAGGCCAGGATCCAGCACTGCAGTGTTTCCTGGGAAGGTATGCTAGTAAATGGCAAAAATAGGAAGTTCTTGCTTCTGTGATTAGTCTACAGAGTCAAAGTGGATATTAAAAATGTGATAGGTCTGGCACCAGAATAACCAGCAAGGCCAGGACAGCTGCCTGGTCCAACTGCCCACAGGCCATTTGTGTGAAGGGCACCATCCTGCCATGGGAAGAAAYGTCAGATTTTATTGTCTAGTTATGATGTAATTATCAACTCCACTCCTAATTAAAATGCCATAAAGGAAGCTAARTAAATAGTAGGTTTTCTTTATAGGGTAAAAACGCTAAGAGCAAAAAGAAAACTATTTTTTTGAAAATGTGTGCATTTTAAACTAGTGAATGCCTTGTAAGTTGTATGCATCTCAATACAAAATATTTAGAATCTCTATTAAAGTAATGAAGTCTTTGGACAGCAGAACTCAGGAAATATCACTCTGATGMTTGTTGCTGATTTCTGTGTTCCAGMCAGATGGTCACATCTCCCCCCTCCATGGCAGTGTTTGGAGAGGTTTCTAAGTGGGGCTGTCAGCACTGAGTCCTTCCCTCACCTCTATCTGATGGCCACAAACAAATCCCTGCACTCAGTGCATGGCAAGGATCCTTCTTCCTTCCATCCAGCCTTACCCATGRCAAACTTTCTCAGTGACATCTCAGTGACACCTCTCCCCAAGCGTTTTACCTGCTGCTGTTGACAGCTACAGCAATTTACTTGTAGCTACAAAGTCATGTTTGCCTTGTTTTTCAAAAAGTTTATTCATGTTTA